TTTCTCATTTAAGCCCACTCTACAGCAAGCAAGGTATAGTTGGTCACCTACTGCAATGATAGAGATCGTAGTGTCTCACAATGTGGCACTTTCCACATGAAGGTCAGATGCCAAATGTCACAAGTACTTTAATATGCATGTGCCACATGAAGTGTGTAGCGCTGTTAACTCTCAGAATGAAAGCGAGAATATTATACCTTTGTCAGCAGCCTGAGCCTTTACGCCTCGCTAAAGCTTGTTCATTATATGCCTGTCACTCTTTTAGCATTCAACGTTAAATAACAGGGTTCTCATTTATACATACAGTACATTAAATTAGATGATACTGTAATTGAGAAATGTTGAAATATAATTAGAAGTAATTGTGCTAAAAACGTTTCCATTCAATATTACTCACATATACCAGAGTTGGACACTTATACAGGCTAATACAAAACATATGGAAAACCTGTGTGATAAACATTAATATTTTTCTTTTATGAAACTATATATGAGAAAATGAAAGTAAGTATAGATAATTTAAAGTACTATTTCATTTAGAGTAGCTGTTGACATGCTGCATTGACTACATTGCTTTGCCACACAGATTCCATCTCTTTATAGAGACAGAAATATAGATTGTATCTACAAAGCTATGCATGTGTGACAGTGTTGCTATGCAACAAATACATTTTTGGGTGATAAAAGGATGCTGTAAGAAATGAAAACGAATTAACTAAACACCTTAATAATAAGTACAGTTACACTGATGTCGAAAAATATGGTCATTAAATATTCTGCAGTGCCTTTACACATATTCTCTCGTAGGATCATATGCCCTCATAACATTGTGCAATTATAAAAAGTATTTGTAAATTAAGTGATCTTACATATTGGTTTGTCACACATGCCTTTCTGAATGTGTGTGTGTGTGTGTGTGTGTGTGTGTGTGTAGTCCACTTAATCACTACCTTGGTAGTTTGGCCCTGCTTGTATTTGCTCTCCCCTACAGAAACAACCTTGAAATGCGACAGATGTTCAAATTCACCTTGCTGAACTTCACAAATCAAAGCTGGACCACTAATAATGAGCTCTTGTCAGTTGAGGAAGAAGAGAGATTGTGGTGGTAAAATAAGTACACACACACACACACACACACCACCAATCATTAACAGCTAAGCTCGGGTCATACTTTGCAGCTGCTCTTTCTGGATAGGATAAGATAAGAGTCTGACTGCTGAGTGAGTGTGTGTGTTCTTGTGTGTGTATTTATGTCTGCATCTTTGTCTGTATCTGTGCCTGAAAACACCTGTTCAAACAAAGCTTTAGAAATACGACTGAATAAATACATTTCATATATACAGTAACCAGCCATCTGTCTATTATAGGGTTGTAAAAGACTGTGTTTTGAACATTGACTTTGATGAGAGTAAAAATATAATAAATCAAAGAACTTCATGCTATGCACTGTAGTTTACTGATACATGCTGCGGGCTCTATTGTCACGTGGGGGCATAATGTTTTCATGAATTGAAGTGGGGTTTTTTTGCCTGTCCCTGTAGAGTTTTGGTGATTCGCTGCTCACCAAAGTGGGAGAAGAGGCACAGCAGGGTATTACCCAATGGTACTTGTGGCTGTGGCTTTTTATTCTTGTTTTGCTCATATGTTTCACTTTCGTCATTCTGTGTTTATCCAGGAGACACCTCTAATTGCACAGAAGACATTTTTTAAATTACAATTATGGCAGTCATGCCATAAAGGCAGAGTAAAGAATTAAGATTCTTACCAATAACTCTAATCCACCCCAGCTCATATATGAATGCTTTCTCTTTCCGCTGATCCCTTTACAGCCACTGAAGGGGCAGGTATGTGGTCTTTAATTTGAGTGGCATGCATTGTCAAAGTGTGATTATACACACCAGATCCACTGATTATCTGGTTGCGCAACCAACATCAATCTGTTGCAAGATAACCAGGCATATTTCTGTGTGTATGTGTACATCAAACTGCTAAATTACAGTATATATTGGTATTCTACACAGGCTGCCAGTTTATACAGTGAAAATAAACACAAGTGTTAAGAGATGGTGACATCCATGTACTGTATTGGGACCTGAAATTCATTCAGTTCCATAACAAATCCTAAAACAAGTCAAACTTTTCTCGCTTCTTTACATCACTGACATCCCTTAGGACAGTCCAGTCTCACGATTACCTCTTCTGTATTCTCAATACTACAACACCTGTAGTAACCTGCTGTGTGTCTATTTCTCTTTAAAGGGTCTGATCAAGGTACTGCCTGAACATCACATTTTTAATTGCAAAAGAGGTCGACCTGTGACTAATGATATCATGGTGTGATAGAGCAGGATCATAATTGTTCATTTAACTGTGTTGGGTTTTGTTAAGGGTGTTGATTACAATGCCAAACATTCCCCATTTAATATTTCATCAGATTTTAAAAGCACTTTTCACTAAACTGAGTTTTATTTTAAAATATCTATCCTGCTTGTCCTTTCTATCTTTATTTCTTTTATTTTGCAATTTCTTTTAATAAGTTGACTCGTTCAGGTCAACATCTTTTGTAACGGATAAGCAAGTTATGATTCTAGCAGGCTAAACTCTAAGCAGGGTTTGTGACAGCCGGTCAATATACAGCTACATCAATATTTAATATGGGAAGATTTTAAGTTTTCATGAAACTGACTGGATGT